GAAATTGAACGTTTACGGTTTGGGAACGACGAAGTATCGATTATTAGCCGGGTTGTTGTACGAGGAATGAAAAAAAAAATTTGAACGATGGATTCGATGAATAGATACGTATGTATACTGGGTGTCTCGTGTGTAACGAACACTTATGGTAAGAAAAAATTATTATGGCTGCGATGAAAAAAGTTCTCACAAGGTCGTCGATGTTCTTTTGAGTACAAACATGCTTTTCACTACGATATTGTGATCTTAAACAGTAAAGTGTCAATGCTGATGACCCTGGAAGGTTGTTTATTTATAAATTTACGAAAGCTCCTCTTTTTCGCTGTTTCTTACTTTTATCAACAGCAGAAATAATTGACATGTTCGTTACAAGTGAGACACCCTGTGTGCAATCGTCACGATGCGTTCTCCACTGAAAAGGATAAGAATTTCGTACAACGAGCGGTGATATATGGGTTCGTACGTTGAAAGGCTGCGGCGCTAAATACAATTCTTCGCGAAAGTCGATAGTCGGTGAGCATTTCACAGAGGCGAGAACACAAAGTACACTTTCTGCTCGCAGAGTTTCCTGCCAGTTCGAGTTCAAAGTTTCATAATGCTCGGTATTTAGAGTTCACGGTGTATTCTAAAAGCAACGAATCTAGTTAGCGTTAAGTTAAAGAGCCTCCTCGAGAACCGACTGTCCGTTGGACTGAGTAGCTGGCAGGTAACGCGATCGATCCACGCGAGTAATGTAATGTCGAGCGTTGAAACGAGAAACGCAGGAAACGTTCACGTTGAAACGCGGAGATGTGAGTTGCAACGTCACCGGAAGCTCAGGATGTAGCTCTTCCCCACCCTTTCGAAAATTTGAAAACGTTCCGACGGATGTTTGCGGAAACATCGAGACACTTCGGAGGCTAATTTCAAGTAAATATGGAAGTTCAGAGGTTTCGGAAGCTTTTAACGTTTATCGAGAATTAAGGGGTGCTCGAGATCTAGCGAAAGATCCACCCTAATGAGTAAATCGTTTCGAAAATCTCGCGCGCGTTCCTGGCTTACCTGTCGCGTTCGTTCGGTTTCCGCTCAAATAAGGGAGCTTCCGGTTGTTTTGTGAAAAGTGACTCCTCTGTGAGGTAACAAGGTGCTTCGTTTCTTCTCGTCATTGACGTAACTACTTTAAGAATTGAAGAAAGAAGAGATTGAACCTTCGTGTTTCTCTCGTCAGGGATAATTGTCATGCGAGACTCAAATATACAGGTGTTACGAGCCACATAACACTTACCACGATCTGACGAAAAAGTGTTTTAAAAACAAGTTGATCAGTTTTCCAGTCGACTAGAAATTTTGATAAAAAGAATTTCCAAGAGGTCTCTTTTTTTCAATAAAAAGTCATGGTCACCTTCGTTATTTAAATGCCATTACACAGTTTTGGCTTCGTAGCATTGTAGCTCGTGCCAAAATAAGTTCATTCACCTGATACGCCGTAACTTTGAAACGATTAGAGACAAATTAAGAACCGTAGTCTTGGGTCTTCCTATTTCTCATTTAAAATTGCCAATTGTTATTTATTTTTAAATACTGGATGGTTGCAAAAGTTCGTGCCCGATGTGGAAATAAAACACAATCGGTGTGTGCAAACGCAGATTTCATTTGAAACTGAAATGGAATGAAATGAATAATTATTTGAAAATAAAACACAAGCGGTGCATCTTTCGATAGGAATGTAACATTACGCTAAGAGAAAGATGTGTGCTGAAGTCGATAACCTCTGAAAATCGGCCACGAACTTTCGCAATCATCCAATATTATGCAAAGAAAACTTTATGGAAATTTATTTATCGCAACATGCAGCTGAGATCACCGGAGATGCTAGAAAAATCGCGATAAGTGTTACGTGGAACATCCTGTATACAAAATTCGAAGTCGTTTCATCTTGTTGAAAAGACCTTCTGCAAAGATTCGAAGCGACGTGTTGTAACGAAGGATTACAAGTTGGTCGTGAAACTGAAAGTAATCGAAACACAGCCCGGTGTTGTGTACCGGTAATACCCTTAACGGCACTTTAATGGCCGTGCTCAAAAGCTCGACAAGGTGAAATCGGCTAATTTGCCCT